TGCCCTATAGTGACTGGCTGGCATGTGCACACCTGGACAGCTCTGCATTATGGGTTCTCCATCTGCCCTCCTGGCCTCTTCTCCTTGTGAAAACCTGAAGATCACATCTGGTTTAGCCACCAGGTATCCTGTGGAGGGGAAATGACACAGGACTTTGTTATTAATGTTGGAGGCAGTCTAGAACAGAGGCCCATCCTTGCAGGGTGAAGATGGTCTGGCCTCGGTGACTGTCCCATGAGCACAGCTATTTGCCCTTCATGCAGAACATTCACATAGAAGGTGAGAACATAAACATACAATGCAGGGTGCAAACAGGATTATGAATTCTTGACAGTGAGCCTTAGGCCCGAACTCATTCAGGGCTTCAGACACCCTTGAGCATGCAGCAGCCGAGAGAGGGAAACATGAGTAGGGGTATTCTAGTCACACCATGGAGCAGTCCCTCACCCACAGAGACTAGGTGGCTGTAGGTCTCCAGCATGACATCCCTGTAGAGGTTCTTCTGAGTAAAGTCCAATTGCTGCCATTCCTCCAAGGTGAAGTCCACGAACACGTCCCTGAAGGTCAATGATTCCTATAATAGCACATTTGTCTTTAGCCCAGAGTAATGGGCTCAGGGGACTGGACATATGTGATTTATATTGAGTGCCTACTCTGTGCCTGTCTTAAGTATTTCAATCCTTGCCCCCACCTGGAACCCTGACAGATGAGGATAGTGAGGCACACACAGTGTAAAGTTACTCACCCAAGGTCACACATCTAGGAATTAGGGATTAAAATCCATATGGTCTAGTTTCCATACCCACATTTTTAAACATGACACTGCATTGCCTTTCTCTATATAATTGTTCTTATGCTGTTCATTATTCACAATTTGACACAGTATAAGATACAGAGTGTTTATGTAACAAAATTATTTTACGCTTTATGAAAAAACAGATCAAGTGTTAGAAATATCTTACCCTGGAAATTCATTCTTTCAACACATATTTATTGAATAGTGACCAAGCTGACAAGTTCTGAGGATGTAAAGATTAATAAAAACAAACAACTCTTGAACTGAAGGAGCTTTAGTATAGTAGAGGCAAAAGAAAAATACTTAGAAACATAGG